GCGAAAGAATTTCTCCCAACGACGCGACGTCCTTCCTTCGTTCCGGCTCGCGGCCGACAGAACGCTCTTTTGACCTACTGTCTTTCAAATCGCCCCTCTCCTCGACCGGAGACCGCACTCCGCACAGCTACTTTCGGACCATGATTCACTCCGATTCTCCTCCTTCCTTCGTTCCCTTCGCGACCCTCGGAAATCCTTGGTGCCTTCGAGTTTCAAACCGGAACGAATGCGCGCCGTGCTACTTGGTTTCTTCGTTTCGTTCTCTCCCGCCTTCCCTTCTTATCGTCCTCGTTTGTAACAGTTTCGATAGAAGGATACTTGTGAAAATGTAAAAAACGTTGTGGAAGGCGCGCGAGCGGTCTGGGCTAGGCGAGTATCTCTGCCCACGTCTATCGAAGACTGGTTCGCCGCGCGAGGCAGGTGAGTTTTACGAGTTAACGGTTGTTGTTATTTGCATCGCGCTTTTTTCTCCCCCCGTGATTGCCTCTTCCTATTTTCCTCTCCTCTGCATCCCTTCGTTTCGCATCTTCTACGATCGTATTATTCGAGCCGCTGACCTTTGTCACGTGGCTTTTTGTTCACGAGCAGGAAAGAAGGTTGGGAGTGAGCGACAGAAACGAAGAGAGAGAGAGAGAGCATGTCGGTGGGTGTGCGCAAAGCCGACTAACGTAGCGTTGACCGCCTTTTCCGAGTGAACTTTCACATTCTGATCGCGCGAGAGCTCCGCCGGTCTCGAAGGTCGTTTCTCCTCGCTAGAAGCGGAGCGCGAGCGGGTTCCTCTCCGTAGAAAAGAGGCGCATTCTCTAAGCGATCTTGAGCGAACGCGATCGTATTCTGTGACGAGTTCGCGTTCTCATCGGAGGCGCGAGAAGGTAGTAGGGGTCGAGCACGAAGCGCGGCCCGAAAGGAAAATTTGCCTGGATGTCGAGCAGGGGGAACGAACAAAGGATAATACGCGAGCGCGTGAGCGCGCGCGGACCGCGTGTGGACCTTGCACCGTTCTGAATATGCATAACGAGCCCGAGTTCCGATCGCAATCCCCCACGAACGGTGTCAGGTACTCTTGACCCGACGACAGTTTTGTCATGGTAATGCCTCTACTTTGTATTTTAATGCTCGGAAAGAGATTATGCGGGTAAATACGGCCAGAGGAATACCGTGGCTCGCCAACTGCTCGCTAACCTCGTCGACAGCCCGACCATTTCTCTCGTTTTGCGGACGTCGCAGGACGTCGCAGGACGTCGCAGGACGTCCCTGTCGAAAAATTCGGATCAAAGAGGAGGAAGTTGTAGGAAAAGAAGCACGGTAGTTTAGAACGGTTGGCCGCTATTAATCGTAACCGGCACCGACTTGGAATCCCGTCAAAGTCGACCACGTTTACACGAGGCAGCGTTCCTCGGAATCGTAGTATGTAGCCTCGGGGAATCACGCGGATCGATTCGTTCGTTGCTGGTACCCGTTCTCGTTCGCCAGACGACTTCTTCGATCATTCACGAGTCTTTCTGTCCTCTTCTTCCTTCTCGACACGCGCACACACGCCGATTTTACAACCGAAGGTAAGCGCGAATTCTAATAAACGAATAGCTTTACGTTTAAAGTCGCACGGTTCGAGGTTGCTCGACGCCGACTGCCTAACTCTTGTTAAATTGTGCTCGAAAGCAGCTGCTCGAGTACGAGCTATTCGAAACACAACAGTGAAAAAACAAGCTCGTGCATGGTCATCTCGTCGTACATATATGTATTCGGTGTCCTTTTTCAAAAGAAACATCCGTCGAACGGAACGACGTTACGAACTCTCGGACATTTCACATATGTATGTATGAGCGGCTATACAATTTTCGATGTTCTTATCGAGACTTTATCTTGCATTCCGTTACGTATTAAACCATATCTTTCAAGTGGATACAAAAAATTGTTGCTACTAAAGTGAAGAATAGATAGGAAACTATCGTTTCCACGCAAGTTTCCACGTACATGGTCGGTATTTCGTGGAAGAAAAATGTCGGACGCAGACGGTGGTATTTATCAAACTCCACTCTCTGGCCAGATCGGTTTTTCGTTGGAATTCCCCGGGGAGGAAGCCTTATCCAACGTTATCGAGGCTAGTTTGGTAGGCGAACCGGAGCGCAGGGGGCGGTCCAAGAGGAATCTCTCGGCCGTGTGCAGAGGATCAAGAATCGACCGCCAGTTGGATTACTAATCATTTCCCGGGCCCGAGAAACCTCGCTAATTGATTAAAGTCACGATCCTGACCCTGCCGTAATATCGGCAATCTCTTCTCTTCGCGCACAGGGAGGAAAGTGGAGAAAGAGAGAGAGAGAGTGGAAGCATAGGACGAAAAAGAAAAGGTAAGAGATAAAAGAGACTTCTTCTCGCTCGCGCTCCGTGTGTTGGCCTCGCGTAATTTTTTCCGTCTCCCTCTCTCTCTCTCTCTGCCCGTCTCTTTCACGTCTCTCCGTCCTTTCCTCCTTCTCGTCGTTTTGGTTTGCCCCGAACGTTCGTTCGAGCGGCCCGGCTATCCGCCTTCGTCGTCCTCCCATTGTTGCATCGTTTCAGCCCGGCAAGGGAAACAATGTCTAATTTCAGTTAATGCGGCCATAATGGCCATCGTCGTTGCATCGGCATGCCGCGCGCGGTATGCTTCGACGCTGAGAGATAAGTGAAATCCACCTTGGCACACCGGCGTCTCTCTACCCTCCCTATCTCTTCCTACGGACGCGACTCATGCGCCAGATATATATCGGCATCTATCGAGAATTTCCTAATAGCACCGATTCCGCGGTGATCCTTCCCAGCAATTACCCTTGCCGTTTAATCGATACCCCCCGATCGGCCACTCGGCTTCTGCCCTCTACCTACCCTTATCTTATCGTCCTCCACCTCGATACAGGTGTGGAAGTTGAGAGTTGAAACGCAAGGTAAGAGTTTCCCGCGGTGAAGCGGCGCGTATCGAGGCACGCGAGGCCTCTTCGAAAAGGATGGAAAGAGCGAGCAGACAGTTCCACTAAACGTACCTTCTTCTCGGGCAGTCGCAATTAAGGGTTAATTAAATTGAGCGGCTTCCTAGATTTCTGTAATCATCGCGGACAGTATCTGCGGGGTAATCTTGAGCGCATCCTGTCTGCCTCGGGGGCCCCACGGAAGGAAGGGGCCCCCGAGGTAAGGTCATGCACCCCGCTGACCTCGGACCACCGACTCGCCCCACCCCCTTCCCTCGCCGCACACCCTCCTCGCGTCCTGCCTCCCCATGCCTCGCGCCGCCTCGCCACGGCTCGCTTCTCCGCCGCACCGCGCGCACGGCCTTCTTGCCTTTAGCGCTTCTCTCTACTCCTTCTCCTTCGTCTTCTTCCTGTCCTTTGCCTCTTTCCACTCCGCGCACTTTTCCTCTCCTCCTCCTTCACCATCTCCTTCTCCTTCGCGTCCTCTTTGTCCACCGCGCCGACCTTCTCCAACCGACCTTCCTTCGATCCAACGTTTGCCAACAATTGACCCACGCCTCCATACTCCGACGCGAAATAATTCGGTCCAGCCGAGATGATAGAAAGCTCCCCCCCCCGTCAACCCTTTCGCGCGTTTCCTTCTTCTTCGAGAACTCCAAGATGCTTCCCCCTCCGCGATCCTCGCCGTACCCCTCTCCCGTTTAACCTCTCTACCACTTCGTCACGCTGTTTTTTCCCTTTGCTCGCGAGGACTCACGAGGCTGAGAGGCAACGTCGGCGAAACGGGTAGGGAGTTGCGTGCCCCAACGCTTCGAATTATTATCAAAAGCCGAGGCATCATCCCGGATAATGAGCGGACGTTACTGCGACAGGGCAGAAAACTCGGGTCGCCTTCCCGTGGGAATAACGCGAGGAAGTTGAGGAGGCCGACTACCCGCGACGCAAATGCGAGCGATCACGGTTCAAGGTTCCGAACCGGGGCCAAACTGGAAATTACATTTTCTTCACCAACCCAACGTAATATACATACGTAAGTACCTATGTAGCCGTTGATAGATAAACTCGAGGATTCGCATCCTAGGCCCGCAAACTTCCTCCGGACTGCGCTCCCTGACCGTTCGTGTCGATGACCGTCTCGCTTACGTACGCCTTGAACAAGGTCAGATGGTATCTGGCAGCGAGAGGAGTTGGAATCGCGCGGGCACAGGAGAACGGCCAAGACCGCGAGGAAACGTGGGATAATTGTCCGAGTTTGACTAGTCGGAAGCGGAAAATCCAATTCGTATCGTTTCGAGTCGTCCGTCGGGAGGAGGAGGGTACCTCGATGGAAGTGAGTACACCTGGTTCGTACACGTCGGTGACCAGCTCGTGCGTGCTCTAACAAGGTCAGATGTTATCGTGGCTCGAACGGGCAAGTTCGAGCGGGGGAAAAGGAAGAATCTCGGAAAGGGAGAGGCGTGGGAACCTTTCCGGGGTTTTCGTGATCGCGGCTCCGATTGAGCGCCAGTAAGTATCCTTGCGCCTCTCTTTAACCTCTCGCCTTATCATTCTTTTACGTACGGTTAACGCGCTTAAATTAGGAGAACCTGAATTTCCCGATGAACCCTGCAACCCATCGACGCGGAAGAAAGGATTATATGTATATACGAAATCTCGGAAAGGCAGAGGTGATTTAACTGACGCGAGCCGACAGAAGGTCGAAGGTAGGAGGAAGGAAAAGAGAGGTGTTGAAAGAAAGGTGGCGGGGTGGAAGAAGAGATCGGTATCGAAAACAGGCGGTGGCCGAAAACAGACGGCGAGGAACTCGAATCGAGAACGCGTCCGGATATAAATAGGCGCACTTGTCCCGCGTTACCGCGACGAGTTCCAAGGATGCCCGAGCACTCGCGGCCGCTCGCGATGCCTCGCGAATCCGTAGCAAATAAATAGAAGCGTTTCCGCCTCGTTGAACTTTGATCTTACGCGCGACACGCAGCCGTTGCTCTATTTTAACAAGCACCGCCACCGTTAATTCCCTCCGCGTCGATCGGCAAAGGTAGCGTCAAATCATTCGGTACGTACCTTCCCGGCGCATGCCCATCTTCAGGCACTTTTTCAATCGACAATACTGGCACTGATTCCTATGGTGTTGGTCGATCGGACAGTTCCTATTTCCTCGACACGAGTAAGTTAGGTTTCTCCTGACGCTTCTCTTGAAGAAGCTTTTGCATCCTAAAAAGAGGCAAAGGTACACAATTAAAATCTCCCCCTCCACTCTTTCTCTTATTGTTAGTCACGTCACACGATCTCTGTTTCGGTGAAGAGCGCGTGAGCGCGCGCCTGCACTCGGAGGAGTAACGTCGAACCGGCTGATCCAATCACCCTTTAACCTGTTTAGCATGCGCGGGACGATGGCCCCCTGTCTATCTGTCACGCGCCACCTCCACGGGTCGAGCGCGCTCGTTAAATCGAATCGCGTCGGCCCGTGTCATCGGTCTCTCTAGCCTCGCTCCCTCGTCCGCGAAGAAATCGCCCCTCGAACACGCGACAAACATTCTTTTTCCACCACTCCTCTCCTTCGGCGTCGCATATCATTTTCTAGTAGACGTACAACTCTTGCTTTTTTTCGAGTAAATCAACGGTTAGGTTAGACGTGTTCCCGTATCGAGGAGCTTTGAGGAAAGCCGCGGCCTAGCCGATTTCGGTGGACGGGTTGACGGGTGGACGGCTGCTAGTACTTGGAAGCAATCAAGAGGCAATTCATATCGTGACAACAAAGCGTTCTCTGTATGGAAACGGCTCGAACGCAGATAAAGAGAGTACCCTTGCCGTTGTCGGCGATTCTCATCGGCGATCGCGAACCTTCGACCGAGACTTGACTTAACGATTTTCGAGTGCACGCCGTCTAAACGTCGACCGAAGCTATCTACAAGTATTCCAAATAATCTAATATATTCAAACTCTAATTGTCTCGAATCTCCGAAAGCCTCGAACGAGAACTCGTCGCTTGGATCGTTCCGGTGCTCGGCTTCGACCGTGACCCGTTATGCTAGAAACGGTTCTTCGGAATCGATCGCGCATCCCGATCGGTAATTTTCGCGACGCGACGCGACGGTGCGCTGCTCGAGGAAACGGTAATGCCAACGTTTCGATAGCACCGGTGTGGATTTACTGGCGCGTATTAACGAGAAAATTAATTAGAGAGGCGTTCGCGTCCACTCGCAGAACCGGTTCTGCAATTTCACCTAGCGTTTAAAAAGCTCGCGCTGCTCGACGGCGCGGCGCGGCACACCGCGACACGGCGACGCTTTAGGGGGCACCAACTGCTGGGTCAAGATATCATTTTCGTTCCTATCCTACTGCCATTAGCGGCGGTAAAAGCTCCGCAGTAACGGCCTCGTACGTCATTTCCTGCTAGCTAAGAAAAGGTTAAACGCGATTCTATTCACATCCGCGAACCTTCTGTTTCTTGCGATTTTCGCCGATTCTACCGGCGGAGATTATATACCGTTTTCTTCCTTTCTACGAAAATATGCCCTCCCTGCCGTCGAGCTCGACTTGCTTATCAACGGGAGATTAGATTACTCGTTGTTGTTTTATGGCGTTTAATCGTCTTTTCCTCTAAATATTTACGCAGCACGCAGTATCGGAGAGGAAGAAGTTTGTGAAACGTCGAATTGGAGTTGGAGCGAGCGGTTTTTCAATTCGGTCGCGTAGTCGACGCTCGCATCTTTGCCGCAGCGGTAATCGTTGTCGTCGTTGTCGTCGTTGTCGTCGTTGTCGTCGTTGTCGTCGTCGCCGATGTTGCGAAGGAGAGAGACCGTGGGGTCGCCGTAACTACAAATTGCATCGTTACACGCAAATTACGCGATTATAGTACGCGAGTCAACCACCAAGAGACACTGCATATGCGCGGCGTGGTAGCGCGAGAGAAAACAGAGAAATGGGCTCGGGGAAAAGGGGGAAACTGAGAGCGAGCCCTGCGAAAGAGGGAGGATCGGGGCGAGAGAGAGCTGAAACAACTACTGTTTATACTTTCAGATTGCAGCTTGCGCGGCCCTCGAGAGCTCAAATTGCTCGCATCATTGAATTTTCATTGCTCCGGCTCGTTCGCTGCCATTCCATTCCGTGTACACCGGCTCGGAACGACGTTCCACCGTACGATGCCGCGGAAGTATCCCCGCGAACGAGCCTAGGGGAATCGACGGTTCATCCTCGATCGTTCGCGCGACTAACGGTTCGATTCGACGCGCCGCGATACGCCGAGAAATCTCGCAAGACCGCGTTCTCTGCCACCCAGGAGAGTGTTGCGCGAATAATATTGTATATCTGGACGCGTTCGAGTACGTTGGAAGAAGTAGGTTCTAAGAAGAGGACGTAGGAGAATCGATAGAATCGAGAGCGAGAGGATGAACAGGATGAAGAGAGAGAGCGAAGGAAGTGGGTAAGAAGGCAAGGAGCGGCGGGACGATTCGGTCAGTAACGTTTCGAGTCGGCCGCGTAAAATTAACGACATTGTTATAATTAATTAGTCGTCGGCTGGTGAGGTAGCGGCGATGAGCGGCGGCAGCGGCGGCGGCGCGGTGTTCGCCGGGCAGAGAACGGTGCGTAGATAGCGCGGGCTTCGTTAGCGAGATAATTGGTCACAGAGGATGCGTTCGGGATGCGTCGCGGTTCGTAATTCTATGCTCGATGCATGCGCCTCGCCGTCTGTGCATATATGTATGTATCTACGCGTCCGCTTCTTTTCCACCAATCCTGGCCGCCTCCGATTTTCCCCAATTTCCCTCCGCCGGTTCGCGGGGGATGGAGGAGAGGCGCGACGCAGGCACGCGCCTCCCGGGGAAATGAGATTAATAGAGATTAGCAAAGTCGGAATAATATAATATGATCTCGTTAGAGCGATTAGCCCGTGGAGCGGGCTGCAGAATGTCTGGCTTCTTCCTGCACGCGGTGGGCTATGCCGAGCATAAGTCCGTAAGTCCGTAAGTAACCGTAAGACTCGGAGGGAAAGCCAGAGACCCCGAACAGGAAGCCCCGTTGCGGGCGCGGGTGTACACCTCAGACCGCGAGACCGGAATTAAATTTCCTCTTCTTCTTCTTTCATCCGCGGGGTAAGACCTCGTCGCTTCTTCCCCTCTGCCTAACCCTCCGTGTTTTGGGGAACCGCGAAAACCGAGACGACCGGTCGCTACCATCGCCGCGCCGGGCAAACTCGAGCAAACTCGAGCAAACGTTCAACGAGCCGTGTCGAGCGTTCGCTCGCTTTGCACGACCGCCGTTCCCTCCTCTTTCTCTCCCACGAGAGAATGTAACGTGACTCGTTTCGACGTTCCGTGTAATTCGCGACAAATACGAGCTCCGTCTTAAACGCTAGTTTACTCGCATGCCGCGAGCAATTACTATAATTGAGACAACAGCCATTTTTAAGGAACGTTCGTGCCGAGGCAGCTGCCACGGCCTGTCGCTTCGCTCCTCCGTCCTTCCATCCTACCGAACACACATTTGCCTATTCCTAGTCCCTTCGTTGCCCTAGACCTTCCCATTTTCCTCCACTTTTCCCTATCGCGGAACACGTTCGCGCTCCTCGAGACACGAGCGAGCCGGTTCGTTAAAATCGCTCGGTTACATAAAGGAAGTGACTCGATCGAAACGAGCTCGAAGTCGAAGCACAGAATTAACGTTATCATCGTGACGCGTGGAAAATATGCATATGTATGTATGTCGCTACTGTACATTTACGCGTTTGCTCCGATCACCCCGTCGATACTTTTCTTCCAAAGTCTTTCGGCGAACCATTTCCCCCATTTTCTTTTTTTGTTCTAACACTTTGTTTTCTTCAACTTTTACTTTCTTTTCCTAGATGCACCACCATGTAAATACGCGTGACATTGTTTTCGACCAACGGTACGAGGCAAAGAAGTATCAAGGTTGCCTGCATTCTAGTTCGCAGAGGAAACAATACGATTGAGAGAATGCCGCGTGCGGTAATTAGCTTTAGAAGGAGAACAGTGAAACCACGGTCCCCTTGTACAATACAATAGTTGTGTTTTCAAGAACATCTAGGAATTAGCCTATTGTTATTAGAGACGGACGATCGGACGACATCGAAATATAACGTGGATAAAGGAAAAGTTGGATCGAAATTGAAAATTGAAAAGAAGAGAGGAGATCACCTATAGACAAAATTCGGTACCCCGAGAAATAAGGTGGTACTGGATGGGATGGAATGATAGCAGGGTGTCGAGGGTACAGCGCGCGAGACAGTACCATAATTATTGGATCGCTGGTGGGTGGAGAGAGACGTTCCTGCTCGTTGCGTCTCGAGTCGTGTCGTTTTACCATCGCGATCGTTCCACTCGATCCCCTTGCCGTTTCTTCTTGATTTTTCATCGAGGAATCGAACGTCGGACAGTCGATTCACCTTCGAGATAACTCCCAGTCGATGCTTCCTCTTAAGCTGTTCACTCGACATTCTTTGCCGCATTCTTCGACCAACGATTGACCGAATGACGCACGCGCTTCTAATTTACAAATCGTCCAAGCTTTTAACCCATTCGCGGCGAATAATCGCGTATTCGCACGCGTCAAAGCCCCGCTTTATTTCCACGATTATACCGACGTGCGGTAGAAGGTATTCTATCCTCAGGCTCTCAGGTACGACTGTGGCTTTGTTGTTGAAATGGATTAGCGAAAAGCGAAGAGGACAGTAAAAAGGAAAGCGTTATAAAATTGACGTAAAACCTCTGCGTGGAACGACGATCCTCGGCATAGAAGCGCGATTCGGCTTTACAAGGGGTTAGGTCGGCCGACCGGTGGTTCTAGGTTCGACCGAACGAACGCGAGTAAATTTCACATGTTCCGACCACCTCGCGGCGAACGGACAGGGGTGGAGTGGGCGTCGAACGATCGCGGAAGAAAGAGCGAAAAGGGAGCGGCGGCGATCGTGAAGGTAGCCGAGAGGTCGAATCGCGAACGACTATTGCGCAATAACCAAAGACGAAGAACCTTGTTCGAGACGCGGTACCGCGAATGGGAGGTTCCCGGGCCGCTGTAATCGGCAGATTAATGTTCGTTTCTCGAACTTAATCTCGGGCGAATCCACAGGACGGATGATTCTCGTGGAACACCCGAGAACCGTTCGGATCGCCAGCGAATTCTTCGTCGGTCGAAAAGAAAGGGCGTTCTCTCTCCCCCCCCCCCCCCCCCCTCTCACTCTCGCGCTGTTTCTCCCGTGTCACCTCGAGACCGATCTGGTTCGATCCTCGGGCTGTGCTCCACTACTACCGATAACGCGCTCGCGATCGTCTCGATCGACCGCGTCCAAAGACAGACGCGACAAATTGACGATAATTCGCGACCGTTTGACATCGGTTGACATCAAAATCAATTCGTCGTAATAAAGCGATCGCCGACAATCACCGCGATTACGCCAATGAACGTCCAATGTGGAAGGCGTATGCGCCGTGGCGTATCGGCCCATCGATGTTTCTATGATTCTCAATAAAGCGTGTCGTCGATCGTGCCAGCCAATGATGGCGCCGTTCCACGCACGTTCGATGCCTCTCGTTCACCAGCGAAATCGAATCGGGGGAAGGCACCGTCCGCGCCACCGAGACAAAGCGGAAGAAAATTTTCCACCGATTTCGTTCAGGTGTTCGTCCAGCGAGAGGAGACCCGACTGACCGGGATCTTCCGTTGCTGCATCAGCGCTCGAAGCGATACGACAAAGTCTAACTTTCTAACCTTCGGACCAGTTGTCCGCCTCTAGCGGACAGTCGGAGCTAGGATCGTTCGGTCGAGGAAATTTTAGCAGGCTGTCGCCGAGCAGAACGAACGGTAGAAACTGTAATTAAAGTGGAGGTTGGGTCGTTACCGGGCTACCGGCGATGAGTTACGAGTTTGAGAGGCCTGCGGCAAGGCCGCGACTCCGCTCGTCCACCAGGACCAAAGTCCGTGCGAACCGCGACACCAACCGCAGCTTCGACCTTCTCCTTTCCGTTCTTTTTCACCATTACGATTAACGGAAAAGCTTCTCTTCGGAGAAAGCAGCGAGAACACTCTCTTTCTTTCGTTTTTTAATTCGCCAACCGAAGCAGCTTCTCCCTTTCTTCGCTCTTTTTTTTCCAC